TAAAACATAAGTTTGGGTTAAATTTCAACAATGATAACTCAGCGAAAATCTAGTTACGCCACTGAATTCTACATAAAATCTTTATGGGACTCTTGTGTTAAATTATAAGATAGGTATCCGAGATACGAAGGGAGTTGAAAAATGCAACATTTTCAAATTCGTCCTGTATTTCAGGAACTAAAAGGGCTAGGATAAATCTATATGTGGCATCTTTAGTTTCATAAAAAATGTAACATAGTGATGTGAAAACCGTATTTTTGTCTCTAGGCATAAGCGAGGAACCATGTAAAACATGAAAATGGGGCACACAATTGGGCAGTCACACACAATCTGTACATACACAGACCCTATACTACTTCCATTTTGCAATTTATATTATTAACAATCATTTCAACCACAAATACTGTTATAGTGATATGATTATAATGGCACATTTACCTCATTGACCACAGTCGACCAACTTATAGCATTACATAATGTATGTAGGTACTTAGGTATGTGGAAATGTATAAAATAAACAATATACCGTATGATCGAATAGAAACGGCGTCAGCGATGGCTATGAAATGAACATCTATGACATTTACCATATACATTTATATACAGGGTTGTTCACCACATACGACACGGAGTATTGTAGCTAAATGATCAGATTTTTACAAATTGTAAGTTTTGGGTTTGTTGGGAGGAATTAGAGCTACAATATAAAAATATTTTTACAAGATAAAGAGTGTCTCAAATAAATAAAAAATATCAAAGTTGTACTTTTTTAAATTGAACACCCTGTATTATTATATTTTTAGTTTCTGCGAAGGTTTATCACACTTAAACCTTACCGTTTTTGAAATATTTAAGTTTTTGTAAAAATATACAGTAATAATTTTAATGCATCATTTCTCTAATCGTATTTAAGTTTTTAAAAACAACTATTGTACTGAAGTATTTCTATTTACTGAATTTTGTGGTGCAATAGTAAAAATTATACTACCTTATACAGAGTGTCTAAAAATTTATTTTAAATAATTACTAGCTTTAAACGGCAATAACTTGTTTAATTTAAATGGAACACCCTGTATATTTTATGAGAATCAGATGCACAATTTAATTGTCTATCAAATTGCGTTGTACAATTTTTTTTATCCATATCTTCAAGTTTCCGTAGAAAATGCATTTTCTTGTAATTTAGAACTCATTTATTAATATACCCATGGAATACTGACATTTTAGTTTATTTTTAAAGATGTACCAAATATTTAAAGAGTACAGATACTAATATTGTCGATATAGTTCGTTTATTTCATTAAAAAAAAATAAAAAAAACTGTTTAAATATTTGTTAAAGAGGACCAATTAATATGATTCCAGTATTCAAACTACATTAATTGACTGTTTGCGTTCATTAATAATAATTGTTCCAAATACTAAAAAACTGAATTTTGTATGTGTATTAGAAAGTGTGGTAAAAAGTAACACCTTAAAAATGATATTTCATTTTCTGACAGATGCTTATTTATAACAACAGTTTATTTTCATAACTTATTATTATATTGATTTCTGCTTTAAATCCACATTTATTTAGAATAATTTATTAGCGAACACAATTAAGTATGTAATTAATTAATATTTGGGCGGAAATGATGGGTGGTATAGTTAATTAATGGCATACTCTTTTATAAAGATTTAAATATATAGTTTTCTTTTTTCATACAAATGGGCTAGTTAGGTTAGGTTGTAAGCCTGTACATTTTGTACATTTGTTGCTTTAAAATCAATCTAAAATGTCAATATTCCATAGGTAGATTGATAAACGTAGTCTAAATTATAAGAAAATGCATTTTCCACGAAAACTTGAAGGGATAGGTAAAAATGGTATAAGACAATTTGATAGACAATTAAATTGAGCATCTGATTCTCCTAAAATATACAGGGCGTTCCATTTGAATTAAACAAGTTATTGCCGTTTAAAACTAGAAATTATTTAAAATAAATTTTTAAACACTCTGTATGAGGTAGTATTATTTTTATTATTGCAGCACAATAACTAATCAATAAATAAATTACAGTAAATATTTAATATTAAAAACTTTGATACCTTTGGAGAAATGAAGCATTGAATTTTTTACAACAATTTCACAAAATTGAAAATATTTCAAAACCGGTAAGGTTTAAGTGTGACAAACCTTAATCAAATTTACCTTTATTTTAATCGTAGAAACTAAAAATATAATAATATACAGGGTGTTTCACTTAAAAAAAGACAACTTTGATATTTTTTATTTATTTGGGACTGTATCTTGTAAAAATATTTTTAAATTGTGCCTCTAATAGTTCTTCAACGAACCCAAAACTTACAATTTGCAGAAATCTAATCGTTCAGCTACAATACTCCGTGTCGTATGTGGTGAACAACCCTGTATAAAATGACAGCGATCTTCACTTCATAGCCATCGCTGACGCCGTTTTTTTTTTCGTTCATATTGTACTTTAAAAGCGAACTATGCCGAGTGCGACACTTAGCGTGCCAAAAAATCTCGCAAGAGACAGGCTCTGTGAATGGGTTAGGGGTGCGACGTTTCGGGACTGCAATGGCAGTCCCGGAATGGAACATGCCAAGAAAATCCTAGCAGGGCCATCCAAACGTAGAATAGGAGAACTCCTAAAGGCTGGCAGGAATGAAGCGCGTACGCTCATTGCGGTATACACGGGCCACTGCCGGCTGAGATCACACCTACAAAGAGGATGGGACTGGTGGAAGACGCCGAATGACGACTCTGTATGGAAGATGATGAAACAATGAAGCACGTTATGTGGACCTGCCCCGCTAGGGCCAGCACCAGGTTTGAAGTGTTTGGTAAACCCACGGAGACATCACCCTCGGACATAACGGCCTATGTTAAAAGGCTGGGTCTTGAGGGTGAACTTTAATGCTCTTTTTCTATTAAAGAGCATGTAGAAACTGAGACACAATACGCTCTCGCGGCCGCAGTGGAGTGTCATTGGTATTAATAGAGTAGTAGAGTTCACTAGCATACTTTTTTTCTAAAACACTCTACTTTGCCCACTTTGGTAGAGTAACTGTATACACGTCTCCAGTAATTTGAAAAGATATTTCAGTTTAAAGTGTGTGACAATGAACAAGCAGGTTAGGCAATGGAGTGGAGATTCCTTTATCAGATCCTTTTACATTTTTTATGAAAGAATCCATTAAAGGAAACCATATAATATTTGGAACATAGACATCATTTAAACCAGAACCTGATTTTTTTTTACTTTTTTATTTTGTTAACTTCTTGATTATAAGTATACCTCAAATTTTTAATTTTTTGTTTTAATTCACCTAACCTAACCAAAATTTTCCTTTGATATATATTTTACAATTTCTTCGTAGGTCGCTGATCTCACTGATCTATTTCTATAATTAGGGCGGCTGATATTCCATATACACTCGTAATCCTTGTATACTGCCACTAATTTCGTAGTTTCAGATTCCGTCCACTTCATTTTCTTTCATACGTAAGCAAAATTTTAAGTTTTAATTAAGAAGTAAAAAAAGATCGGCAAGCACAAGAAACATCCAAACACTCACCTCTACTAAAGCTATTCTAGTGCCTGTTTACACTGGTATAGTAAACTAGCAAACCGGTTGAATAGAGTAAGATGGTGATAGTGGGGGTAGGCTAGTAGAGTGTACTATTCCACACGTGCTATCCACTCTACTCGCCCTTAGACTATCTATAGTACTATAATGTAACTAGCACAAACTGTTTACATTATTCTAGTAGTGGGATAGTACGCACTCTACCACCGTACTCTACTACTATTAATACCAATGTAAACCAGCCTTTAGTCAATACAACCAATGCCCAGTATAGTATATTGTATTGTTCATTTTTGTAGAACATTTTTCGGAGACACATCTTTGTAACTTTTCATTAAAAGCCCTTGTTTTTTTCTGTAGTTTGAATTTTTTTGTTTGGTGTTTTTGTGTAGTTTTTAGTTAATATACATGCGGCTAAATCACATCCTATTTATAATTAGCTTGTCGATTTAAGACCAATTACATGGAAAGCTGCTTACCTACATAGAAATTCACTTATACCATATATGTAACAAGTCGGGTTTTAAGATTTTGAGCTTCATTAATTAAAAAAAAAACGATCGGGACTATCGGGACTGTGGCGGATACTCAAAAACTAGTGAATCTGACCAGCTAGTACTGAATAAGCTGTTCTCTAAACCAATGAGAGTAAATTTTTCGACTATGGCATTTTTTTTTCCTAGGTATTAATGATTGGCTATCCGATTTTAGCTACACAATACAAAACTATTTATATAGTTCTTCTCTATTGCATTCCTTGTTATTTAAGCTCACTGAACTGTGACTAAGCTAATCGCATTTTTACAGAATGTAAGGTTGTGCAATCAAAATGAAAGTGCAGCGCAAGTGAATTTGTAGTCTTTCTTGTAATAATTTGTTCTTGTTTATTTAATTGTGGTCAGATTTGGAGAGCTGCAACTCATGATTCTCGGTATCTTTAAATCATCAGATGAAATTAAATTGGTATGAGATGAAACGAAATATAAAATTCATTTGATGTAATGTGGATAATTCTAAGGACTTCATACTATATAGATATAGTAATATTTATAATTTTTATTCTAGTAAGATGCACCATATTATCTCTTTTGTAGAAACTCATCTTTTCTGTACAGGGTGGTGTAATTTTTTTAGCAAGATTACAGTTATTTAGTAAAATATTGCGAAAATTATTTATGAACTTTATTACTATAAGTAAGCCTACAGTGTGATGCAGTGTTATTACATCAAATTTAATTTAAATATGAGTTTTTCTAAAAATAATTGACTTTAAAATAAATCGTAATAAATTATTTTTGCTAGAAAAATTGGATTACCCTGTATTTTTATTATAATTCACTTTATCGAACATACCACTAACACTAGCCTTTGATTTCTTTTTCATTGCTTTGCTGTCACCATAGGAGGAAAAGGATAAGGTAAATAAATCAGTTACAAAATAAATGTATTTTGTATTTTATATAGTTGTGCTTTTTATTTTCTTGGCATTTTTTGTTCTTGGTCTTATACTTTTGTAGCATAAATAGTTCAGAGATTAAGATGCTTCTCTTATGATTTTTAAATTTCATATTATTTTGTTGTTGCCTTATATTAGTAAGTAGTGTCTGTAGTGTAGAAGAGCATCAAGATTTGTCTATTATTTATTTCTTCTTGGCGTCTTGGCCATTGTTTTAGTATCTTATTGATTTTTTATGTAATTACTTATTGATGCTAACTGTTAGTTTATGTAGATATTATTTCTTCTAGCAACCGTTTGAGGTAAATATAAGTTACAAACATTAAATCAATTCATTAATATACGAATATCATTTAGTTCTTGCGTGTTTTATGATGTAGTAATCTTAAGCCGGTCCCAGACACTACGTGCATTTGGCGAATATTCGGTATTCGAGCTTATTCGCGTAGCGTGTGGGAGGTTACCTTCGACGAAGATTCCTACTTCGTCATTTTCTCGGCGGTTGTCGGTAAACTGACACGAATCAAAGGAGCTCGTAGTGCGGCGTAGTCAACTTCGGAATTACTCCCAGAGGCTACGGCTATTTGTTTACGTGTTTTTTTGTTTTGGCGGCGCGCTCCCCTACGCGTTGCTCTACTACGGGAAATATTTGTCATTGGACGTATTTTTACAAATAACGTAGAGTGTGGGAAGGTGGTCGAAGCCGCGGTACATAATTCGAATGTTCGCACATTCGCCAAATGCACGTAGTGTCTGGGACCGGCTTATTAATTTTAGTGGTCTAACTTTAGTCAGTTCTTCTTGCTAGGTGATCTGTGTATTGTCATTTTTGAAGAACTTATTCTGCAAATTACTTTGCTAGCTGGGTCTTCTGTCTCGTGTTTTATCCACACTCTTCTCATCTGGTGATTCTTTTATGTTATAAAAAAATGTTTTTTTTTACATTGTTTCATAGACGTGTGTGCAAAAAACTAAAACCTGGAATTTATGAATTTTTGTTCTAGTGCCCAAGGTTTCATACTTTTATGTCATGACTGGTACCACCAACTGGTAGAAAGCTCATTTATTTAAAGGGAATACCATTCTAGACTTTAATATAATGTAATTCTACAATGGGCATGTTCCAAAAAATATAAATTCGCAAATAAATCATTGTATAGGCAATTCAAAATAAGATCGCAGCGCCATAGCGGCGACAACTCGTACTAATCTATGAGCCATTCCGCATCATTTCGCCATTTATTTAATTGTTTTCTTGTGGTTTGCGTTGTGTGTTTGATGTCTGTTTTCCAGTTTTTATAGTTGGTTTTGGACAGTTTTGTGATTTGTGAACATTTTTTATTTGTTAAAAGACTTCGGTTTTCATCATGCGATTAAGCATTTTGGAATATATGCGGTATTTGGACGGATCCACACATTCCAAATGTGTGGATGAAGGGGAAAATGTCCTTAATGCAGGCCATTTAATTTTTTGGTTGGAAAAACCGATTTCACAAGCGACTGGATTAATCTTTATGGCTTGTGTTTACAATCCAGTTCCATTAATTCGGATCCACATGAAATTAAGGGAACTTTAACCACTGAGGAAGCCACTGTAAAGATTAAAGAAATGCATTGTTCTTGTAAAGCCGGTAACAGTGGTAAATGCAAACATGTTTCGGCCGTTCTTGTAAAATGTGTCTGCATAATTACGTGGAAATTGAAAAACATGAAACATGCCCAAATCTTATTATTTTATTCTTAACTTTTTTTGTATTTATTTATTCGAAAACCACTCACTTATTTCGTGTGTCTAAACACGGTGACACGATGTTAAATGATGAACACGCTATTTGCAAGTAATTTATGGTAATAAAATCTTTGTCGTTGCGTCATTGTGCCGTATTCTCAGACCGTATAACATCCTGGGCAATTTCATAAAAAAGTGAAAGAATACTTTATAAGAGATTTTATGGTCGCTAAAAAATCATGACACATTTTAATATGACCATAGATTATTTGCTGTAGTGTGTATTTAAGATAATTTCAAAACAATAGATTGCCGGCAATGGCTCGTTCTCACAGGTTAATTTGTAGCGTGTAACCGTGGGCGCTAAAAATAAATAAGACCACTTGTCACAGACCTACTCGCGACCTTTCCCAATCCGCGGTCTCGTTTTCTTTTGCGGCTCAACGACACCAACAACTATTAATCAATGACAGTGTCATTCATTCACCTTCCATTTTTCTAATCTAGATCTAATAGCCTAAACAACATGCAATATAAATTTGCAAATAATATTTCAAACATTTAGTATCACGATCATTAGGAGCTCTATTCTACCTATACAGTGATTATTTTTTTTGCACAATCTTTTTACATTTGCTCCAATGTGTTTCTTTGCCATGCTATTTTGTTCCGGCTTTTTGTGTTCCTCTGTCCCTGCGTAATTTTTATTTGTCCATCTTTCGTCAGTCTTTGAGTCTTCGTATCCATTAATGTGGTAGCGTAAAGCGGGATTTATATTGCATCACTCCAAAGTGAATTATTCAGAGTAAAGTCATCCGTGTAATCATCCTCTTTCACCCAGTTTGCCGTTTCACATCCCATGCATTACCACTGTTTCCTATGTCGTGTCTGTGAAAAGGTACAAGGGCGACTTTAGGGTAAAGTGTCCTTGTACCTTTTCACAGGTCAAGTAATTGGCGTGAAGGTTCGTTTTCCAGATTATTATCGCTGTGATACCCGGTGGTAGAATGCCCCGTTCGAGAAGAAATGCAAATATTATGACGAATTATGATGAATAGTTTAATATGTAGATATTTATCATGATCATCATTCTGAGCTTGCCATTCTGAGCAACCATTTCCAACTATGGTGTAGCGTCTTTCACATACAAAGTTAGCCCAGTGTAGTGGGCCCATTGCATTGTTGTCTATTATTGGCTATGCGGGCTCAAGTTATCTCTGCTAATTTCCTAATATCATGGTTTATACCATCTCAGGTTCGGTCTTTCTCTAGGTATCTTAATTTCTCGTGGTACGTTCAGCATGGTACGCTGTCATTTTTGTGGTTCATTTGTTGTCTGTTCTTTTTGCCAGATGTCCTGCCCATTGCCATTTGACGGACTTGACTCTGTTGGATGACATCTATTGCCTGGGTCTTCCGTTGTATCCACTCTGTTCTTTTACGGTCCCTCTTGGTTATTCCCAGCATATTTTGCTACATCGAGCATTGTGCGACCTGCAGTTTCCTTATGATGTCCGTTTTAAGTGTCCAGGTTTCGCATGCATAGGTCATGACTGGTAGTACACATTGGTCGAATGTTTTCTTCTTTAGATAGAGTGGCATTCTAAATTTGAATATGATTGAGTTTTTTCCATAACTTTATGCTAACTTAATTCTTAAGTCAAGTTGTTTCATTCTTTTTTTTTGTGCGACACTTTGTATGAAACAAAAATTACAGACAGTCTATATTTATCACTTTGAATGATTCCTCCAAGACGATGATCATTCAATGTGACAGACGTAAATAAGCCTCAAGTTTCTTACTCGTATGTAATAAAGTAAAGTAAAGATTTCAGTTAACGTCTCCTTTTTGCTGCCGGGCTAATCTGGACGGGGCCTACTTTGTTTACGCGGAATCCGAACCGCGGTCCTCGGCCATATCATGGTCAATTTCAACCTACCGACTTGGCAAGTGTCTAAATCGACTCTTACTTACGAGATATCCGATCTCATCCGGTCTCGAACCGGCGTGAATGAGCAGTGTGTGTCAATAGATTTTACACTTTTGCCTTTTTTTGGACAACAGCACGATACAGAGTTTCGAACAGGTCACCCGTCCATCCACTAGTATCGCCTTACGTCGCTTAACTTCGGTGTTCTAATGGGAACCAAGTTTCAAGTTTCAAAGCATTTATTGAGAATGTCTCCTTAAATACAATAAAAAGGTGCTATATACAATATATACAATAAATAAAATAACATGATAAGATGGTATGTTGTTCTTCTGACGAAGCACTCAATCACTTAAGCGAACACTGTGAACAGGGGGGCCGATGTTTGCTCTAGGTAGCTCTTTTATTGACCAGGCGAGGACTGCATGTTCCGCTTTTGCTCACACATGCATTGGGAGTATAGAGGCAATGCCGGCGTGCTTTACTTTAATAAATATGTTGGTTACTTAAATCAGATCCGTAGAATCGGATGAAAAGACTCTTAAAAAACCTTCGTAATATCTAGTAAATTTTCGGTAATTTTATTGTTTGTTTGTATGTTTAGTTGTGATGTAGTAGTCCCCAGTCTATTCTGCAACTGATGTACATATTTTATGTACACGGTTGAGAGTAGTCTGAATCTTAGGAGTTAATTGATGTTACGTTTTGTGTGTCTTTGTTGTCAGCGTCTATAGTTATTTAATTTATGCTCTGAGTTAGAACATTACTCATTATATATAGGAAGCCGTGAGTATATCGGCAGATGTTTCATATTTATCACATTGTGCTGACTTTGTTGTGTTATATTTGATGTTAGAGGCGAATTATAAATTTGCGTCTTGTAAAATTTTTGTCCTATTGTGTCGATAAATTCGTTTATTGTCTCTAATCCGGTATTTTCATGTAAACGTGCTATACGAGTATATCTGTCATATCCGGTGATTTTCCTTAGTGTTTTATTTTGTAACCGTTGTAGTCGCAGTCTTTGTTTATTTGAGATTTTAATCCATACTGGGCATGCGTATGATAGGGTAGGCCTGAGTATAGTTTTATAAAGCAATATTTTATTATCTACCGTCATATGCGATCTAGGTGACAGTAAAGAATACAATTTCTGTAATGCTGCGTAAGTCTGTTGTATTCTATAGGCCGTATTTGATACAAATGACAGCCTCTTGTCAATTTTAATACCAAGATACTTGACACAGGATTTTGGCTGAATAGCTGTACCATCAATTTTTAATGGTTCATGGACAGTTATGT